CCATATCTGAGACTCCATCGACAAGGCTAACACCATTTGCCCTTGCCTGGAGATCCCCTGAGCCTCCATCCCACCCAACTTATGGGCCCACTCAAGCTGTTAAGAGTGGCTTTTCCATATGGATGACTGGTCTTGGCTCATGCTTCACAACTTCCTAAATCATCTCAAACAAGCAACAGCTGGCTTTAGTGAGCCCTCAGCCCACATACATCCTGCTAAGTGGCTCCAGGTCAGGCACTAGCAGCAGCCAGCCTACATAAACAGCTTAGCTTTCCCTGGGAACCTCCAATCACAGCACAAGTAGCGGCATCTTAGATTGCTTTATAGTTCAAGCTGGATGGCCCTGGGCAGAACACAGGTGGGAGCTGACCTTGGCCTGCACCAATGGGGAAACCCCAGAGCTTGCTCACCCATGGATAGCTATAGGCCATGTCAAAGTACCACCACCATGCCCCTGAACAGCTGGTTCTCCACAGAGGGCAGAGGCTGATGGTCAGTAGTCACAGCCAGTCCTTGCAGCAAACTGGCCTAGATATATCTCTTCTATTGACCTGCCAACAGCAATCAATGCTCAACTACAAGAAAAGGGTATACTCAGCCCACACAAAAGGCACACCTGAAGTACTCAGCTTGGGTGATAGGGGAGGCTGTGCCACTGTACCCTACAGGACACCTACTACATTAGATCATGCTACCAAGGCAAGGAGTCATACCAGCTTTACCTACTACATAGAAACAAACACAGGGAGGCTGCCAAAATGAGGAGACAAAGAAACATGGCCCAAATGTAGAAGAGATAAAAACTCCAGAAAAAGACCTAATCAAAAGGGAAATAAGCAAACTATCAGATGCAAAGTTCAAACACTGGTTATAAGGATGCTCAAGGAACCTAGTGAGTACATTAACAGCATAAAAAAGATCCAGTCAGAAGCAAAATATTCCAAATTGAAATAAAGAAAAAATTAGAGGGAAACAACAGTAGAGTTGATGAAGCATAGAATCAAATCAATGATTTGGAACATAAGGAAGCAAAAAACAAACAATCAGAACAACAAGAAGGAAAAAGAATCTAAAAAATCAAGGATAGTGTAAGGAGCCTCTGGAACAATTCAAGCACTCCAACATTCACATCATAGGGGTGTGAGAAAGAGAAGAGAAAGAGCAAGAAATTGAAAATCTATTTGAAAAAATAATGAAACGAAACTTCACTAATTTGGTAAAGGAAATAGACATGCAAGCCCAGGAAGTACAGAGTCCCAAACAAAATGGATGCAAAGAGGCCCACTTCAAGACACATCATAATTAAAATGCCAAAGGTTAAAAACAAGAAGAGAATCTTAAAAGCACCAAGAGAAAAAGAGTTAGTTACCATCAGAAGAGTTCCTATAAGACTGTCAGCTGATTTCTCAAAAGAAACTCTGCAAACTATAAGGAATGGCAAAAAATATTCAAAGTCAAAAAAGCAGGGACCTACAGCAAGGTTGCTCTACCCAGAACACTAACATTTAGAATGAAGGGCAGATAAAGAGCTTCCAAGACAAGAAAAACTAAAGGAGCTTATCATCAACAAAACATTATTATATGAAATGTTAAAGGGAAATATTTAAGAAAAAGAAGATCAAAGCTGTGAACAATAAAATGGCAAAAAATACTTATCTATCAACAACTGAATCTAAAAAGCAAACTAAGCAAATAGAAGGACTGGGAAAGAATCATGCAGAGCAGTTGATACTTGCCAGATGGGAAGGTATGGGGGGGAATGGGTGAAGAAGTGAGGGGATTAACAAGTACAAATTGGAGACCTCCAGTCAAGATGTAGGCATAGGTAAACATGCCTTGCCTCCATGCACAAATATAGCAAAAAACACAGCTATACTACAAAACAAGTATCACACAGAATTGTCAGAAAATTGAGTTCTGTGGAAGTCTGAAAACCAAGGATTTAAAGAAGCCACATTCATCCATACAAGTAGAAAGAGTGGCAATGCAGAGAGTCATGGAGAGATATGGAGATGTGGAGTGGTGCAGAAGGGCACAGAGGTGGAAATGGGAAGTCTCACATCCATGTGTGGTAGATAAAAAATGGGAGGGTTACCTCAGGAATGAGGGATCCCAGCCCCAGGCCAAATCACCCAGCCCAGGGTCCCAGTGCCAGGAAGATAAGTCCCCATAACTTCTGGCTGTAAAATCCGGTAGACTTTGGGGCAGTGGAAGAAACTGCACTCTCTTAAAGGGTCTGCAGCATACTTAGGAATTATGCAGAGCCACACTCTCTGGGATTCAGTACCAGGGCAACAGCTGGAAGGGCACTGGTGGCATATGGGGAGAAAGTGAAGTGCAACTGGGGAGACAGCTTCCTCCTGGGTAAAACTCCAGAGGCCAGGAAGCAGCAATGTCCCCTCTGCTAGTCTTCCCCCACACAGAGCAGCAGAGTAGTGACATGGGTTGTCCTGCCTTGTCGATTACCTAAGGCTCCATTCCATACAACTTAACAGGTGCACCAAGACAGAGAGTCAAAGCAGCTCTATCTAATACACAGAAACAAAAATAGGGAGGCTGCCAAAATGAGGAGACAAAGAAATATGGCCCAAGTGAAAAAAGAGAACAAAACTCCAGAAAAAGAACTAAATAAAATGGAGATAAGCAACCTATGGGATGCACAGTTCAAAATTCTGGTTATCAGGATGTTCCAGGAACTCATTGGGTACTTCAATGCTGTAATAAAGACCCAAGCAGAAATGAAGGTTACATTAAGTGAAATAAGTAAAAATCCACATGGAACCAAGAGTGGAGAGGAGGAAGTTGAGGATCAAATCAACGATTTGTAACACAAGGAAGGAAAAAGCATTCAATCAGAACAGCAGGAAGAAAAAAAGAATAAAAATTAAAAAACAAGGATAGGCTTAGGACCCTCTGGGACATCTTTAAACATACCCATATCTGAATAAGAGGGGTGCCACAAGTAGAAAAGAAAGAGCATAAAATTGAAAATTTGTTTGAAAAAATAATGAAAGAAAACTTCCCTAATTTGGTGAAGGAAGTAGATATACAAGTCCAGAAAGCACAGGGAGTCCTAAACAAGATGGACCCAAAGAGGACCACACCAGGACACATCATAATTAAAATGCCAAAGGCTACGATAAAGATAGCCTCATAAAAGCAGCAAGAGAAAAGCAAAGTTGCCTATTCTTAAAAGAAACTCTGCACACTAGAGGGACTGGCAAGGAGTATTCAAAGTGATGAAAAGCAAGGACCTACAGCCTAGATTACTCCATCCAGCCAAGCTATTTAGAATTGAAGGGCAGATAAAGTGCTTCTCAGACAGGGTAAAACTGAAGGAGTTCATCATCACCAAGCCATTATTATATGAAATGCTAAAGGGAATTATATAAGCAAAAGAAGAAGACCAAAGTGATGAACATTAAAATTGCAATAGATTCACAACTATCAATAATTGAATCCAAATAACAAACTAAGCAAACAAGCAGAACAGGAACAGAATCATAGATATGGAGATCATTTGGAGGGTTATCAGTTAGGAAAGGGGGAAAATGGGGGGAAAGGTGCAGAGATTAAGAATCACCAATTAGTAGGTACAAAATAGACAGGGGGATGTTAAGAACAGTATAGGTAATGGAAAAGCCCAAGAACTTATATGCATGACCTGTGGACATGAACTAAAGGGGGGATTGCTGGAGGGAATGGGGGTATTGGGTGGAGGTGGGCTAAGGGGAAATATTGGAACAAATGTAATAGCATAATCAATAAAATACCTGTATGTTAAAAAATAGATAAAATTTACAAAAAGAAGTACAAACTGGTAGTTACAGAATAGCCATGGGGATGTAAAATACAGTATAGGAGGTGGAGTGTCCATGTAGAACTTACATGCATGACCCATGGATATGAACAATGGTGCGGGGATTTCCTGAGGAAGTGGGGTGTGCTGAGTGGAGAGAGGCAAAGGGGGTAAGATTGGGACAACTGTAATAGCATAATCAATAAAATATAATTTAAAAGGGGAAAAAAGAGAAACTACCCACAAATGTTCTTAGATGCCTTTAGGACGAATCAGTTAACATTATCAACTTTAGTTTGCTTGTCTTCAAGTGGGTAATGATAATAATACTGACCTTGGCCAGTAGTTGTGCAGATTGGGGGTAATATGGTAAATGACCACCACTGTGTCGGGACTGCAGGTAAGGTAACTGTTATGATTATTACTTTTCTTCTTATCTACTCAGACGATAGGAAGGGACTTTCCAATGAATTTGCAAAAGCCATATAAATCCTTCCTCACTGTACAATGGTTTAGATTATGGGCTATATGAGATTAAGATTACTTCCTAGCTATGAGATTTTAGAAAAATATATTTGACTTTGTGTGCCTCAGTTATTTCAGCTGTAAAATGTGGATAATATTACCTTTTATCACTAAGAGCTATAGTGAGGGTTAAATGAGATAAACTAAGGACTACTTAGACAATGTCTAGCATATAGTAAACACTTACTATGTGTTCTCCGTTATCAAGTGTTATCTTTATTTTGTGAATACTGAAGCTGAGGTTCTTGATTTGCCATGTTAGTAGGTACCATAGGGGATGCTGAAAGATCTTCTCTCCCTTCTTTTCTCCCTTGTTGTCTTTAATCTCTTTCTCCCTCATATATCTACTTATTGGACTGGATTAATATACAACAATTCCTGCCTAGTTGATTGGAATTTAGGACATCTAATTCCTTTTCACTTTCTTTTCCCTGCAGCACTACCTTCCTGCTTCTACCAGGACACCAATAAGTACTCACTCACATACCTTGCTTCCACTGCAATGAAATCATATTATACCTTTGTCTTTTGCCACTAGCCTACAACTATTAGCTTTCATGTCCAAAGTTCCAAGTTTTTTATTTGAATTTTTATACTTGAGAAATCAATAGGGTTAAGGAAATAAGAACCAGTGCTTACATAAGTGTTTATTAGACTTTTCTTTATCATCTTTCAGGTCTTGTAGAAATTTGCCTGATGCACCCCCTCGATGTGGTGAAAACCAGGTAAGGTTCTGCATGAACAAGTTTTATTGACTTTGGCTGATATCCAAATTAAGGTCTGCCAGAACACTAAATGCTAGAACTTGTCCCAAACCGGTAGCTTCTCCCAATAATGGCATTTATATTTACTTCTTAAAGAAAATACTATTTGACAGATAAAATGTGAACAGTGAAAAGCATTTCTGGATTGAGGTCATCTCAAAGTATATATTTTACCGCCTTCACATGTAACCATGAGGTATGACTTGTGGCTAAACTGGTTAAGTGAGGTAAATTTATCAAAATGATGTAAAAACTAAACTTTGCCCAGTGAATTATTACAGCAGACTTTCATTTGGCATTGCACATAACAGATTGCTATTTAATAGTCAGCATTTTGGTGTGAGACTCCAAAATTTCAAGTAAACTTCTTAAATGGTGCTTAACAAATTTATTCCTATAACTGTTTGCCAATGCAAAATGCCATATTTCCAGGAAAAATGCATTTGCTATTCAAGGCAGATACAAATAAGGGTACCATATTAAATCTATTTATCAAGAGAAAAAATCTTATGAGTTTTAATATGATCTGGAACATTTTAAAAAATTAAACATGTAGCTGAATTGTGGGACTCTTTTATTCAAATTAGAAGCTCTGAGAATGTAGTGCAAGTTTCCATTTGTATTGTGCAAAACCCAAGCACACTACACCTAGACTGTAGTGTAATGGCAAAAAGTGCCGTGCAATGAGAGGGCGGAACAACCCTTACTGCCACAGTTAGGAAATACAGTCGTCCCCCCTTAGCCACGGTTTCTCTGAGGTTTCAGTTACTGATAGTCAGCTGCAGTCTGAAAATATTAAATAGAAAATTCCATAAATAAACAATTTACAAACTTTAAATTGTGCACCTTTCTGAGTAATATGATGAAATCTCACACTGTCCCACTTTGTTTTGCCCAGGACATGAATTACTTCTTTGTCTAACATATCCACATTGCATGTGTAGTATAATAAGGTATTTTGAGAGAGAAACCAATTTCACATAACTTTTATTATAGTATTTTCATATAATCATTCTATTTTATTATTAGCTATTGTTGTTAATCTCTTACTATGCCTAATTTATAAATTAAACTTTATGATAGGTATGTATGGATAGAAATAAGCAGAGTATCTATAGTGATTGGTACTATCCACGGTTCAGGCCTTCACTGAAGGTCTTAGAATGGATTCCCCACAAATAAGGGGGACTGCTGTACTTAATGAGCTAGGCTGGTCAGTGAATGGACACATTGCTAATTTACCTAAAGAGGCCACAGAATCTTAGGCTGGCTGCTGAAAGCAAGGAAGGTGACTATGGTGTGCATATCATATTACATTTGTTTTCTTTTTTTACTTTTAATTTTTTATTGTATTTTTCCATTACCATTTAGTTCCCTTATACCTCCCTCCACTCCCCACAATCACCACATTGTTATTTATATCCATGAGTCCTTCTTCTTTTTTGTTCAATCCTTCCACCCCTTTACCTCCACCATCCCTCACCCAGCTGTCATCCTGCTCTCTATGAGCCTGTCTCTATTTTGCCTATTAGTTCAGTTCATTCATTAGAATCCACATATGAGTGAAATGATATTGTATTTGTCTTTCTCGGACTGGCTTATTTTCCTTAACATGATATTCTCCAGATCTATCCATACTGTAGAAGTGTAAAAATTTCTTCTCTTTTACAGCCAAGTAGTATTCCATGGTGTAAATGCCCCGTAGTTGTTTTATCCACTCATCTGCTGATGGACACCTGGGCTGCTTCCACATCTTGGTGATTATAAATAACACTGCAATGAACATAGGGGTGCTTACGTTCTTTCAGATTAGTGTTTTGGGTTCCTTTGTATATAGTCTCAGAAGTGGGATCACTGGGTCAAAAGGCAGACCCATTTTTAATTTTTTGAGGTATCTCCATACTGCTTTCCACAGTAGCTGCACCAATCTACATTCCTACCAACAGTGCATGAGGGTTCCTCTTTCTCCACACCCTTGCCAGCACTTGGTATTTGTTGATTTATTGATAATAGCCACTCTGACAGATGTGAGATATCTCATTGTGGTTTTAATTTTCATTTCTCTGATGACTAAGTGATGTTGAGCATCTTTTCATATGTCTATTGGCCACCTGTATGTCCTCTTTGGAGAAGACTCCATTCAAGTCCTTTGTCCACTTTTTAAACTGGGTTGTTTGTTTTTTTGGTGTTGAGTTTTGTAAATTCTTTATAAATTTTGTATATTAACCCCTTATCAGATAAAACAGCAAATATGTTCTCTCATTCTGTAGGTTGCCTTTTTGTTTTGTTGATGATTTCCTTTGCTGTGCAAAAACTTTTTAGTTTGATGTAGTCCCATTTATTTAATTTTTTGTTTCCCTTGCTTGGGAGATATACCTGATAAAATATTGCCATGAGCTCTGTCTGAGATTTTGCTACCTGTGTTTTCTTTTAGAATTTTTATGGTTTCAGAACTAACATTTGAGTCTGTGATCTATTAGAATTTTTTCTTGTGTGTTGTATAAGAAGGTGATCTAGTTTCATTTTTCTTCATGTATCTGGCCAGTTTTCCCAACATCATTTATTGAATAAACTATCTTTAGCCCGTTGTATATGATTGCTTCCTCTGTCAATTATTAATTGACTATAAAAGTGTGGGTTTATCTCTGAGCTCTCTGATTCTGTTCCAATGATCTAGTGTCTGTTTCTATGCCAGTACCATGTATTTTGATTACTATGGCCTTATAGTGTAGTGTGATATTAGGTAACATTATTCCTCCAACTTTCTTCTTCCTTCTCAGGATCACTGTTGCTATGTGGGGCCTTTTGTGGTTCCATATAAATTTTTGAAATATTTGCTCTAGTTCTGTGAAATATGTCATTGGAGTCCTGATAGGAATTTCATTGAATCTATAGATTGCTTTGGATACTGTGGACATTTTAATGATGTTAATTCTTCCTATCCATGAACATGGTATATGCTTCCATTTATTTGTATCTTCTTCAATTCCTTTCTTTGGTGTCTTATAATTTTCCATTTACAGGTCTTTTATATCCTTGGTTAGGTCTATTCCTAGGTATTTTATTCTTTTTGAAGCAATTGTAAATGGGATTATTTTCCTAATTTCCTTTTCTGTTTGTTCATTATTGGCATAGAAAAGTGCATCTAATTTCTATGTTAATTTTGTATCCTGCTACTTTGCTGAATTCATTCATATTATGTTTCTAATAGAGGTAGCGAGGATGAGACTATGACCTCATTCTTAGCTCAGGCTCTATGACAAATACTATAGACTGGGCGGCTTAATCGACAGGCATTTGTTTCTCATAGTTCTGGAGGCTGGAAAATTCAAGATCAAGGTGCCAATCATTGTGATTCTTGGTTTGGGCTGTCTTCCTGACTTGTAGACAGTCACCTTGCCTTAGCCTCATGCGGCAGAGAAAGGGGCTCTGATGTCTCTTCTTTTTCTTTTAAGGGCACTAATCCCTTCATGGAGGCTCCATCCTCATGACCTCATCTAAGCCTACTGACAACCTCAAAGTCCCACCTTTAAATACCATCACATTGGGGGTTAAGGCTTCAAAATATGAATTTGGGAGTTTGCACACATTCAACCCAAGCAGCCTCAAGTCACCAAACTGAAACAGAGAAAGAACAAAACCACAAGTTATATTTAAATATAAGATGTGTACACTCCCTGGACTATCTTTTTATAGGGTTCATAAACAAAAAGCAAAATTCACTGGCATTTCCTTCTTAGACTTCATATTAACCTTCTTTGAAAAGCCATGATGTTTTTGCTAGTCTCACTGAGGAATAAAAGTGTAACTTAAAGGCAATTGCCTAAATTTGTGAAGTGTTAGATTGAGCATGGAAGAGAAACAAGAATGATTTAAACAAAACTTCGTATTGAAATTATGATTATTCAGTCACTCAATCCTTCATTCACAGATTCAACAAAAATGTACTGACTATCTAGTATATGTGGTTTCCAGACTAGCTTTGCCCTCAAAGAACTCACAATCTGATGAGCTAATAAGAATCTCATCACAATGAATTTGAAAAACTATTGTTCAGTTGATCCTTGAACAAAGTGGGGTAATGAACAGCAACCTCTCCCACAGTCAAAAATCTGCATATGAGTACTATATCATTTCCTTGTACTGGAGATGAGTAGAATAACTTTTTAAATGGATGTACAAAGCTACTGGTGCTTTATATCTCCCTTTTTATGTAGATGTTTTCATGAAAATGGCATTCATTTATTAGAACTAGTCACAAGCCCTTGCCTGGCTTCCAGGAGGATGGAAAATATAATCCTTCCAATTGCTCTAAAGGAGAAGGGAACTAGACACTGGCTGGTATTTGACCTGCATAATAATATAGAGCATATTGAATAAAACCCCACAACCATAGAGTAAACTGAAAGTCCAATATATGTGTAACTAACTTTGCAACAGAAGTAGAATATGTAAGATTGGTAGGACTTATCACTGGACAGTAACACACGGGTAATAGGAGTAGACAGAGCAGACTAAATAATGCTAAACTCTTTTTCATTCTTATGTGGTTTAGGACACAACTATAATTCTAAATAAAATAAACTGTACACTGTCAAAGATAGTGGATGAAATGATGTAGCACTAGTTATTTAAGCAGGTCACTTTTCTAAATGACTTCCAAGGGCACTGGGGTCTAAATCATTGTAGACATTGTCCAAGTGGGGCATGGTGTACATCAGGCCCAACCTCACTTGCTTTACAAGTTTCTTTGTGGATTGTTTTTGCCATCCTTAGATATTATTACTTGAAGGGTGATTCATTGAATTAACCTGAGTATAGAAATGGCTTGTTTTTTACAATATCTCATGTGCTGGAGTATGGCAAAGTAAATGTGTTTATTTCTTAAAATCTAGTCTTTGGGGAATATATCTGTGCATAATCCTTTTCATTGTTGAATGAAAGACAACAGATTCTAAATA